TTTTTTCCTGTCAGACGTAGCTTATTCAAATAAGAGGTTTCTGATGGAGTTCATGTGTGAAGTGTGAACTATTTGTTTAATATGAACAGATGGTTGTTTGGTCACACGTCGCTAGAGCGCACAGATGGATTTTCCATATTTCCACTATTTTTATTTAATAATAATACGTTTGTTTGTAAAGTGCAATTCGCACGTGTGTGTTTTTAATTAGCGCGTGTGTGCGTGTGCGCGCGCGCTCCGTGCTCTCCAGCAGTGCGCGCGTCCTCCGCTCGCGTCCAGGTGTCACATTCTTCGGATGCTTCTGATCATTTGAACCCGGGACCGAATCATCATGACGGACCCCTCCTCTGCTGCTGACCCCACTGCTGGTCCTGTAGACCCCGGTCCTGCTTCTGTTCCGGATCCAGCGGTGTTGGATTCAGCATCGACTCCTGCAAACGGACACCATCCGAACCAAGCAGATACTTTCAACATGGAGCAGCAGATGAAGATAGGAGAGCCGGAGGACAACGGTACGGAGACTTTATGGGTTTATTTGCGTGGAAAGATACATATACAGCTGAACACGGGGCATGTTGTCACACGCTTACTCCAGTGAATATTTCTCAGGTTGGGTTTATTTCTGAAAAGACATAAAATGTAAAGACTTGACTTCAAAATATATAAACAAAATAAAAATAAAAAAGACTAGCAAAAAATATAGCTAGTTAGCCTAACTCAATACAGCAGTAATTAATTACAATAGAAATAACACGCTTTCATTAACACTGATTTGAGATTAATACCTTTTTTAAGATGAAATGCCATCTAAAGTATATGTTAAAAAAGCATGTTTCACAACATATATGTATTTAAATGTATTTTAGACTATTTAATGGCTTAATTAAATAATAACAAATTAAAAATAAATAAATAAAGATATTTTATTTATGTAATATTAACATTTATGTAATAAATATTTTTTTACAGAATTAACAAATGTAAAAAAAAAATGAAAATTAATCAATTAAAAAATATAAAACTGTTGTTTTGGCGAGCAGAATGTGCAATTAATTTATTGTTTGAAGTTACAAACATATTAAATGTGTGTGACAACTTGCCCCAGTCTTATGCTGAGAACGCAGATTCATTCATTATATATTTGGTTCTTTTCTGAATGAACTCTAGTGTGATTCTATTGAGCGCAGCACCTACAACTGTAGTCCTGAGAACATAATTCATACATTTTTTCCTAATTTAAGACAGTTTTGAACTAGATGCTATAAATCAACATGCAAAAACACACTGCTAAAGAAAACAAGCATTTGTATAATTGGACTTTTTAATCAAAACCTCATAGTTGCTGAGATATTGCATTTGTGACAACTAGCCCCGGTGTGTCTCATACACTTTATGGACTTATTTGTGAATAAATCCCATTGAATTCCTCTGAGACACATGTAGGATGTGTTTAGATGTGAAGACAGTGAGATAACCTGACGTAAGCTAACTGAGCGATGTCCCTCAGCAGGTCTTCTGGAGAGCAGTATGCGTCTGAAACCCCATGAGGCTCAGAGTTACAGAAAAAAGGCATTATGGGTATCCTGGGTCTCCATTGTGGTGACAATGATCTTAGCCATCGCTGCGTTCAGTGAGTATCCGGCCCCTCATCTCTAGAGAATCACGGGCCCCTTGATAATACAGACCTGTATGATGTCATATCCTGTTTTGAAGACGAGCTCCTAGTTGATGTAGCTTTATTCTTTTGGGACTTTGTGATACAGTTTTAAACATCGAATTCAGTATCGTTTCTGTAGTAGCAGTTTGGTTTTTATCTTACAGTCTGGAGTGGGATGTTGAATCGTATTTAATACATAAAATTATATAATTATTTTATATAACTTTTACAAAAAGTTATGATATATGTAATATATGAAATATAATAATGTTATATATATTTCTATGTATCGTATAATCATTTATAATATTACATTTTTGTATATATTATTTAATTATATAATTAGTTATATATAATTTATTAATACATGTAATTGCAAAATATTTGTCATTAATTTAAAATATATATAATTCCTCAGAATATAATACTATATATTAATGTAATATATAATAATGCATATAATATTTAATGTTATTTGTACCAAATTTATATTATAGATAAATAAAATAATATAACATATTTATATATTTATGTATCATTATATAATCATTTATAATATATTTCTTCGTAGAGTAGGAAGTAGAATCATGTATATATATTATATATATTACAGATGTTTATATAAAAAAATAAAAATAAAAATTGTATATAAATTTATATTATATGAAATAGTTTCGATATATAACATATGAAATATAATAATGTTATATATTTATTTAATGTA